AACTAAAAAAAATCAGCATGTTGAATACAAAAAAAAAAAGAGAATAAAGAAAATAAGCGGTATTATACTTGCCACGTGCAAGTATAAGATACTTTTAATCCCTGAAAAACAACCCACACGCGTTGCTCTAAAATAAATTAATGATTTTCAGGGATTGTTCTAACAATACATAAAATCTATAAGTTTGTTTCTTTTTTACTTTTAACCCCCCCAGTGGCACAGCGGAATGTCTACAACGCTAGAAACCAGGTTTTGATACTCGTCGTGGGGAGATCACAGATAGCCCATTTTGTAGCTTTTTGCTTAACTTTAAACAAACAAACAATATTTGCTTTTCCTGCCATACAATTAACCGTGACTTTAAGACGGAAAGATCAGCAAAGGAAGACATTGATTATTTTTAACCAACTAAGTAAAAAGAAGAGTACTAAATTAATGGCAGTTGCCTTAAGCGTCATATTACATCACTGAGTTGAGTTTACTAAATCAATGGCAGTTATATGACGCTTAAGGCTACATCACTGAGTTGAATTTATTTCATAATAATAAGTAGACTGATTTGAAATAACGTAATAACTGTTGATTACGTCTTTCAAAAAATCATATTTGCCTTCATGAGCTAAGAAAAATGAAATTTGACAAATATGTCGAGATTATATTCTTGAAAGGCTTTATAAAAGTCCTAACTTTATTGTTCATGTAATTAAATACTGAGCTCAAAAAGACATAAAAATGAAGCGCCTTACGGTTAGATGACATTGTATTAATGCGTCGTAGAGAAAAATATGGCCAAGGAAGTTCAAACCGCTGTCTTCAGATTGAACACTGTACCGTGGATATCCTGCCAATCAGCATGTTGCAAGCTAAAGCTAATGGTGTACAGGATAATTTAATTTAATGAGCAGGTAGTTAATTTTTGAGTCTTACAAAAAAAAAAAAGGTTTATTAACTCTAAATCGAAAGAATGTCCAGGTTCGTGTCAAACAATTGAAGCGATATTGCTGTTGAACCAATACGCTTGTTTCCCTTGATTTTGTAGTTAATACTAACTCGTATGTATATATCCGTGTGTAATATATCTGTACGTGATACGACAATAGCGTGTAGTGACCGAGGCTCATTCCAAACTTTGGATGATAAGCCTGGGAAACGGGGTTTCTCACTAATGATCTTTCAGACGCTGCTAGAAAGCAATTATGATAGATGAGGGTATTAAAAAGCAACGTCCACAAGGGCCAGTGTATCGATAACCTTCAGTACACTTATTGTAGATGCTTAGCGTTGTGGAAGCGATGAATGGCCACGAGCCCCCTACTGAAGGAATCCGTCTCAACGGTTTACTTGATTATAACGTGAACGGAAGGTGAAATGGATTATTGGACACAGTAAAAGAGAAAATAAAGGGTTGATGTGAAGTTTTACGCACGTGACTGCTTTTATAGGCGTACATATATATATATAACTAAAAATAGTCAGGTAGGCATGGAGATTAATAGGTAGACAGACGTACGGAAGAAATTGATGCAACTAGATGGTCAGAGCGGAGAAACTAGAGAGATGTATAGCGGTAATGTTTCTGCAGCATTATGTGTTATTAGTTAGCTGTTCTGTTAATGTTAATCTCGTGTAATTTGACGTATCTAACTGAAGAAGGAGAGTTGATCGAATCTGTCACGATGGAAGAATGATTGGCTTCAGCAAGCACGCACATAATTAAGTTGAGAACCTGCACACGTGATTCTAAACACGATAATAACATTTAAATTCGAGTAATTTTATAAAGATATAAATGATATGATAAATAATAAAATAAGTGATCGATAACGCAATAAATCTAACAAAAATTTCTGGTTTCATAATGGCCAAATATCATTGCGTGTATTAGAAACGAATGTATTATCACAACCCTTAACTCCCACTCTTTCTCTGAGTATCTACATACACACAAATGGTCAGTGCAACAGGAATTATTGCGTTTTCTGGACGAACAACTTTCCTCATATTATTGCATAAACAAAAATGAGATGCATTGCGTTTTTTTTAAATATTTTTATGGCATTTATTACATCACAAATGGGTGACGTTCGGTTTATAGCGTATAGTAAACTGTCTTACATTTTCATTTGGTTTACCCTATTTGTATATAAAATTAACCTGTTGTAAAATATTAGACACAATGATTCAATCTTAAAATGAAGACATATTTTTACAAATGTTCTGCTACACAACGGACTACCTGTTCTCTGTCCACCGCGGGAAATCGAGCCTCGGACTTTAACGTTGTAGAAATATTCCGAAGGAATGGCTGAGGGTTGAAGTTACGAATTTATTTTTCAGAAGTAACAGATCCTTGACGTTTCGGCCCCGGCATGGCCAGGTGGTTAGGGCACTCGACTCGCAATCAGAGGGTCGCGGGTTCGAATCCCAGTCCCACCAAACATGCT